TCAAGAATGGACCTCTCCCAGACCACCTTCATGAATGGACTTCTCCCAGACTGCCTTCAAGAGTGGACCTCTCCCAGACCGCCTTCAAGAGTGGACCTCTCCCAGACCACCTTCAAGAATGGACTTCTCCCAGACTGCCTTCAAGAGTGGACTCTCCCAGACCGCCTTCAAGAGTGGACTCTCCAGACTGCCTTCAAGAGTGGACCTCTCCCAGACCGCCTTCAAGAGTGGACCTCTCCCAGACTGCCTTCAAGAGTGGACCTCTCCCAGGAAGTCTTCAGAAGTGAACCCCTCCTGTAGCATCTACCCGAATGACTAGATGCTATGGACTTCGTCCATAAACTCAATATATTGGACTGTCTGCATTATTATTGGACCCAGTCCAAAGTTTTGCATTGTATCCCTTATATATTTATATATTTCACATCCTTCCCAGCATACACGCTTCGTAGTTTTTCGTTGTATAGATATTGTTTAAACATCACAATTAGTAACTCCCACATTTTGACGTTGACACAACATTGGTAGAGCGTAAGTTACGTAGTGTTTGCTGGGGTTCCCACATCCTTGCCTCCCTCTCCCTTCTCACTCGCGCCACTCCATGCAGCGAGCTGGCCGGCAGCATATCATCAGCAGCCTCTTTTTTCCTGGCTGTTGGTGAGCGATTATTGGTGGTAACCTAGCTACCACTGGTAATCAACCGAAGTACCCCTTGGTGAATGATTTAGGGTTCCATGTAACAAAGGTTCTCTATGAGAAACTGGGCGAGTAACCCTGGCCCGGCTCGATGATCGCAGACCTCACCGTGGTGAGCCGGTGAAACTCGGTGCAGCGTTTACCCTTTTTGATCGGTAGGCATAAGTTCCACAAATTTGTAGTTATCTTGAATATGCTTATGTTTGACTGTGAGATAAATGCTGCTTCAAGGCTAGCTTGCCATCTCTACTCTGAAATTTTCAGTGAAATTACATAGTTGTTTTAATGACCTAAATCTGATGGCTTTAAATACAATTAAACGAAGGTGAAAGGAAAACCTGAATATTGCTTGTTCTCCTAGCACACTGAAACTTGCTCCTGTACCTAGCACACTGAAACTTGCTCCTGTACCTAGCACACTGAAACTTGCTCCTGTACCTAGCACACTGAAACTTGCTCCTGTACCTAGCACACTGAAACTTGCTCCTGTACCTAGCACACTGAAACTTGCTTCTGTACCTAGCACACTGAAACTTGCTCCAGTACCTAGCACACTGAAACTTGCTCCTGTACCTAGCACACTGAAACTTGCTCCTGTACCTAGCACACTGAAACTTGCTCCAGTACCTAGCACACTGAAACTTGCTCCAGTACCTAGCACACTGAAACTTGCTTCTGTACCTAGCACATTGGAACTTACTCTTACACTTAGCACACCGAAACTTGCAGCAAAATTACAACACTGATCAACTGGGGGAGTACTTAAAGAGCTGTCAGTTTTTGCTGAGGGTCTTACGAGTGTTGTATCCGTAAGAGCATATACTGGAGCTGTATGGCCTCTGTAGGCTTAGCGCTTCCCTTGATTAAAATAGACACGCTTACCTTTTACACCATTGACATGCTCATAGCCTGTGATGCTCACCTCAAGACTGCTGATATGGTTACTGTGATGTGACACATTTCCGTTCCTTCAATTGTATTTTTTTAGCCGATTCCCATCAAGGGAAGGGCTCATGATTCCAAGTAATTGGACTTCCTCCCCTTCCTTGGATCTAATCTGATTGCTTCCCATTTCTAAGGCGCTGCATGACCCCTCTGGGTTTCACGCTTACCTGGAGGGTATTCCGGGGATCAACGTCCCCGCGGCCCGGTCCACGACCAGGCCTCCCGATGGATCAGGGCCTGATCAACAAGGCTGTTGCTGCTGGCCGCACGTAGTCCAACGTACGAACCACAGCCCCGCTGATCCGACACCGACTTTAAGTATCTGTCCAGCTCCCTCTTGAAGGCAGCCAGGGGTCTATTGGTAATTCCCCTTATGCTTGATGGGAGGCTGTTGAACAGTCCTGGGTCCCGGACACTTGTGGTGTTTTCTTTCTCTTAGTGTACCAGTGGCGCCCCTACCTTTCACTGGGGGTATTTTGCACCGCCTGCCCAGTCTTTTAGCTTCTTAGGGAGTGATTTGTGTGTGCAGATTCGGGACCATTCCTTCTAGGATTTTCCAAATGTAGATTATGATATCTCTCTCTCGCCTGCGTTCTAGCGAGTACAGGTCAAGTGCTTCCAAGCGTTCCCAGTAGTTGATGTGTTTGATGGGATTTATATGTGCAGTAAATAATGAATAGTGATAATTAGCTCAGACTGACTCCTTTAAGGAGGTTCCTTGACGCTGGTGAGGGGCTCTTGATCTAGGAAATTGGATCTATGCTCCAGTTCCCTGAATTGAGCATGAATACCTTCCATACCTTCCATCCCCCCACAGGAACTGTATAATCCCTACGGGTTTAGCTTCTCGCCCTTCCCCCCCCCATCCCCAAAAAACATGAATTATAATGAACTCGTCGTAAATGTGTACGACAAGCTTCAGCTCTGGGACTGCAGTGTTTCAACAGCTTCCACTCGGGATTGCAAATGTATTCACAGCTCCAGCTCCAGTCGGTGCAATGTATTCACAGCGTTCCAGCTGGCTGGGACTGTTTGCAATGAGTCAAATCCCAGGACACCTCTTCAATATAACTTCAAAGCTGGTGCTGTTCTAGTGGAAAAGTTTGAATTACATTTGGGAATGTATGTGTCCCGTATTTACCATTTGGCTGGTTAGTATAATGCGGGGGGATACCATTCAACGGAATCGCTCAGTTACTGAATTCAATATATGCTTTTTCAAGCAAGTGTCATACCATAGAGTAGACAAAGATTGTGTATAGGTTAACGATTGTTTTGCACGAATCATAATACATTTTTCGAAAGGCAGCGTCATAAGCCTTGCAAGAATTAAATTAAACATTTTTATTTTATATTGCTAGCCATGTATTCATCCACATTGTACATAGATAAAAATTAAGATTTTTAATTTTATAGGAGAGTATGAGCGAAAAATTTATTGGGGGGCAAATAGTAGTTTAATCAGTTAGTGCCTGTTGGTCTCCTGGATAAAATCTCGCTGCCTAGGAGTTTACTGAGTGACGTTCTGGTGGCTGAAGTCCCCTGCCTGGGGGCACACTCTGATACCAATAAGTAATTCCGGGAAACTCCGTTTATTTTGAATAAACCTCCGCAGGCCAACGCTGCAGTGATTCCAGAAATCCATTCCTCATGGGATTGTGTTTTCTCCACTCATTCCAGCAATACCACCTCTCCCATGAACTCTAAGATGTCACACACGTATAGGCACGTGGGCCATAAGAAGCCGGAGAAAGGGGGTATATTGTCCTTTTTCGTGTTGCACCATCCTACGAGGGATTTACTCAACAACTTTCTCTTCTAGCTTAAGCCAACGAATCATTTCGCTCCCAAGGATACTGACTTGCTTGACGGTGATAGTGTTTATTAGACTTAGTTCATCATTAGAGAGGCTGTGTCATCTGCATATTCCGAATCGGACATATTTGGAAGTTCAAGTTATGCGGAATTCAGGGCAGAACTGCCTCCTGTAAATAGTCTGAAACCGCACGGATCATTCTTTCGGTATCAAAGATGAAGAGTTAATTGCTTTTAGCAGCCTGAAGGATTGGCACAGTATTACACAAATAGATTTAGAGACTTTCACTGATTTAAATTTCAGGTTCAGGATTTCGCAGTATTCTGTTGATATTTATTAAGATTCAGCAAATCATATCCTTGTTCACTGAGGTTCCCCTCAAACCCCAGTATACCACAAGTCGAGTCATCCCACAGAGAACTTTTAGGTACTTGTCTGAAGAGTTATTTTATGTTCTCATCTCATGTGATAAGATATTTAAAGTTCTACCGCATACAAGACAGGGCGACGAATCTTCGATTTCTGAAGAAACGGCAGGAGGTCGGGTGAGTGGCTTGGATTTTCCTTTAGGCGAATTTACTATGGTTTTGGCTATTGTTATTTCATCAGTTATCTAGGCACTTTAATAAATGAATCGTGCAGAACGGACCAGCTTGCAGGGATACTGTTCTTCTCCGACTCTCTTTGTGATCCGCTCTGCATATAACCCTTCTGAACCACCTCAAACACTTGATCTTCGCCTTATCTGAGCATGGATGTGAAAAGGAGAGAATCTTAAACCAATATGTCCAGACCGCATCTGAAATGGGAGTTCTTTAGAAAAGAAATTATGTGTAAAAGACATAGTGTAAAAATGCCACCAAGCTTTCTCGAGGGCAGTTTTAGAGGGAGACTCGTGAACATCTCCACCACGGTAGTGAAGGAACAGAAATAATAGAACTTGAATGTAAATACCTTGCTTCGGAAGTGCTGCAGGAAGTACTGTGTGCTGTGTATTGTTAAGAAAGTTGTGTCTGCTGCTTCCCAATGCTGTTTCTATTCGGTAAGCAAGAAATGCCGTATAAACATTCCGTCCGAGGATACTGGGAGATCATCGACATTATGTCGTTTTCCAGTTCTCTCAACACCGATTCACTGATTGTAAGTGATTCTCTGTTTACGAAGTCATGTGCGAAAAGCACCTTTGACACAGCATCGTTCGAAAAATTTAAACAACTTTTGCTAGTTGCCACTCTCTCAGGTTACATTTCCAGTTCATAAATTTCTTCACTAATGATTGTTCTTTGAGCATTATTAAAATTCTCTCATAAGCCGACAGGAAGGGCAACACATTTTGAAGGTCTTTGGGCAGGTGTTGTTCCCAGTCCCCTGTAAGGCCAGCTAAAGTTTAAGTGGATTACGGAGTTCCTGTTGTACCTCGATGTTCAGCTTCTTGAAAGCTGATATCAGACACTGTAGCTCGTGCGTAAAATTCGTTTTCAACTGTCCAGCCGTCTCCATTTCTGTAGTGCTTAAGCACGGGATCAACTCGGGCACATACGAGTCAAATTGATATTAGCTTTTTCTTGACGAAATGCGTGGTAAATGTCAGACTGTGCTCTGGTCTGGAAGTTACTAACACAATGTGGGACTTTGGTTGCCTCTCAAGCATTGTTGTCAAAAGTTTGATAGCTTCATTCGTGGCTTCTTCGAAGCCATCGACAACCCAGACCACCTTCAACTGATTGACTCTCATGTAGAGTGTGTGAGGGTCGTAGAAGGCCGTCGTCTCCGGCAGCAGGTCCTCCTTAAGGAGTCGTATCAAGTCAGGAGAAGTGACGTCCCGACAACGGATAAAAAGTAGAAGATCGTAGCCTTCTAGATCCTTGATGTTGTTACTTTTCGTGATCCAGGACTCCTCCAGATACCTAACAAGAAAAAATAAAAATATAGACTACTACTACTGCTACTAATACTAATACTACTCACTAATAATATTTTTTTAAATTTTTTTAAATTTTTTTAATTTTAATTTTTTTTTGTTATTATTATTAATATTAATATTATTATTATATGGGGTTTTATTATTATTATTATAATTATTATTATTATTATTACAATCAGGGGAGTGTGTAAACTTAGGGGTTAAAGCGCCTGAAAAAAAAATGGAGGTACTCAGGACAATTACAGCAGAGCCATCTTTAAATTTAAAATCCTATCTAACGATGCCTATCATGTTATAAACGAAAATGAAATCTAAACACTGATGGAAGAAAAAAAAACGGGCAACAAACATTCAAGGAAACCATTCGGAGATACTTAATGATTTATAATTTGTAGTGCCAAAACATGTTCTTACATAAAATAATATATATTTATAGAGTATTTTCACGATATAGTAATTAATTTGTTGCCCCAAAAAGACTAAAACGATAGAATTTTGACATTAAAGGAGTGGTTGCCACCTGGTAGTACACTCCGTAATTGCATCAACAACACGATCTTGGCTAGGAAGCCAGGCCTGGTTTTTTATCAGATTGTTGTGTTGATAGGAGTGCAGCATGGTTTTTCCATTGTGCTTTTACTACAGGCGAACGCCCAAGCAGATCAGCTAGAGAAAGGGTAAGTGAAAAGAATTGAGATTATCTGCTGTGTGGATAGGAAAAGAAAAGCGGTGGTAATGGTAGAGGAAAATTTTTGAGACCCCCTCGCCTCCCTGATCCCCATCTCCAAGAAATAATATTGAATGTGGGATGTATATCGTCTTCAAGGGATGTGCTTTATGTAATGGTGAAGGACTCTTAGGATCTTTGGAATTAAGTAATTTTTCCACTTTTTTTTTCATGGTTTAAACGTGATTACAACCCATACCCCAGGCGCCGTAAGATTCCCCCCGCCCCCGTCGACCTCCTGCTGGTTCGAGTGCTTCAAAGGTTAATATAATATAATGTGGCTGTACATCTGGGGAAATGTGTCAGTCGTCCATGACGTACACAATGGAGGCTGAGGGCCTCATCTTGGAACTCGCCGTAAGCTTTCACAACCAGCTTGAGTAGGTTCATTATATAGAGTTTAAAAACTAACGTCAGACACGAGGATTATTAAGGCTTCATGTCACCAGATCACGACACCACTCCAAGGTACTTTAGAACACCGTTAATATAAGGATTAAAGTAAAGCTTAGAATGAGTATATACAGGAGCTGAAGATATACACTACTGCCGCCACCACGTTTTATATACACAGCCCGGTGCTCTCAGTGCATGCATGATCATTAGTGGAGCTGGTCGCTTTACTGGACTGAAGGCCTCGCGACACACAGGGGTCATGAGCGTATATCGCTTTTTTCACATATCATGACATTAAAATTTCATTTGAGCCTAAATTAAACTGTCAGGTTGATCAGTATATATATATATATATATATTTATATGATATATATATATAGGTATATATATAAAGAATATAAATATATATATAGTAGGAATCGAAAATATATATATAAAAGATATATGCTATGCAAAACAGTCCACTGTGAAAGAACAGAGAAACTCCAAGCGCTTCGTGTACTGAGCTCACAGTTGATCAAGGAACAATGATAATGTGAGTGGTTACGAAAGCGCTGGAATTTCTCTATTCTTTCACAGTTGATGTTATGCATATATATAGGTATTATATAGATATATATATATATAAATATATAATATATATATAGAATAGTATAGTAATAAATATAATATAGTAAAGATCTATGGAAGGATAAACTGAGATATAGTATATCCTACCAAGAATATTCACTGTTCCTCTGTACAACCACTTCAAGATTATTAAAATTATATAATGCAAAAAGAAGCGCTAAAGCACAAGGGCTATACAGCAGACACGTCAAGAGAAGATATATAAGATCCAATGTGGAAATAAAGTCACTGACATTGGTTTTTTTTTTTGGTTTATTCTAGGTTCTCTACACAAATGCTGCTAATGTATGATAATCTATGTAACTGTATTTGTGTATACCTGAATAAACTTACTTAATCACAAGGATTACTTCTCAGAAGATATACAAAATGGAACTTCAAGGAAAAAAAATTCTCCCTGATGTATAATTGTTTTGTTTTCACTTTTTTGTTATTAAATATTAGCTTATCAGAAACTTTAATTCACATTTTTTACATAAAATAAAGACTTTTGGACTATATATTCATTAAAATTTTAAAGGGAAAATCGATTCCGTTTTTTTTTTTTTTTAGCTATGTATGGCAAGACCAACAGAAGTCGTTCTCTTTTTTTTTAATAGCATTTTTGTTTTGAACAATGGCCTTGGTCAGCAGCTCCTACATTGAATCAATGCTTTATTTCTTATGAGGTTTCCTTTTAAGGACAAGAATGTATACAAATTTAAAATTCGGTTTCAACAAAGAAGGCACAAGCAATAGCTGCCTTTCGGAGGGGGGGGGGCTTAATTCGGGAACCGAGCACCCTTCCCTTCCAGGGAAATAAAGGGCTGATCACTTCCCATTTCCTAGGCGCTGTATGACAAGTACTGGTTCCCCATGAACATATAGTATTATACTAAATAATACTAACGTGACTAGTATTGTGGAAAATTGTATTTACTGAATGTATCATTATTTACATAACAGTAAATGAACAAAGATAATTATTATTTATCAGTTAGACAAGTAGGAATTTGGGACACCTAGGTCACAAAAAATGTCCCCCTTCGATACCAAACCACGGTCATATCCACAAGTTGCTCTGGACCTATTAATTAAATGAAATATACATACACCAGGAATACTGGTAAATATATAAATTTGTAGACTGTATATTAAAAAATGATTATATATAAACACATTTACATAAGAGAAGGAAAATATATCTTAATATCACTCACCAATTTGACTGGATATTAAGTTGTATCATACTCAGAAAAACCTCACTAAATTTATGAAAACATTGGCCAGAATTATACACAAATCTAGAGAGCTTATCTGAGGTTCCTGGAGCTGTCTTGTCCAGTCGTCTGATATCTCAAGTTATGCAGGAATGCATGTCCAACAATTTCGCCTATTTGAGAGGTGTCAGCCCAATTTCAACCTCTAGAGCACGAAAATTCCTTCCATTCACACCAACTGTTGTACACAATTCAAAACCAAGATGGCGAGTCCCGTCTGCGCAGACGTAGGCTTTCCGTTTTCTATGACAAATATTAAATACAGTATGGCCATCTATATACATATAAATACTGTATTTCTGGAAAATATATACAGTATTTTCCACACTGCGGCCTGGCGGAGTTCGTTGCTAAACGACTCAAATTGCTCATTTGGCAATGGTAGAGGACCTGGGTACATATAGGATCTGGCATCCACACGGCGACATATTACACAAGATTTAATCACCCTTTTTACACTTTGCCATCCTTGTGGAATCCAGAAAGTTTCCCTAATACAATTTAAGGTATCTTGCACCCCACCATGCATTACACTTTTATGGGCATTTAGCACAATTAAATTTGTTAGATGATGAGTTTTGGGCAGTAAGATAGGGTGTTTAGATAATCCCCCAAATTCAGCATTTTGTAACCCTACCTCTGCACCTAATTACATTGTTCTCTAAATACAGCCCCAGTTTCTCTATTATGGAACCTTTCACAATTTTTCTTTCCATCATCAATTTAATCTCATTTCCATAGATTTCCTCCTGTACCCTCTTATCCAAAATTCAAGAGGATGTGAAAACTTATATGAAATATTCATCTTGTTTAGAAATTCAAACACCAACTTATTTTACATTGATCAGTTTGGGTAAAGAAGAATACCTATTTATATCAATGGATAAGAAGGACAAACTATTGGAGGGTGGTCCAGTAATTTTCAACAGGAGAAACATACGCCTTTTGTACAGGCCAATTAGCTTTATTTACCAACCAGCTCGCCCTTTTTAAAAACCATGATACAGCATTTACAAATTTAGCATAAGGAAACCTCGAGACAAGGGAAAACAGCTGGGTTCTCCTCACCAGGTATATGATTAAATGTTAACATATGCTGACCCAAACTATTATACTTCTCTTGCATCTGATTAATTTCAGCGACTCTGTTTTTTTACGTACACAATTTTTACTGTTTCCATTGTGAATCCATTGTAAGGATACCTCATTATCAGACTAAATTACAGTGTCGCTAATATTTACCTCCTGCAAAAACTTATTTCTTATATAATTAGCTAATTTGACACCTACATATATGGCTGTTAATTCCAACTGAGGCAAGGTACGTGATTTAATTGGAGACCACTTAGCCTTAGACATAACAAGAGAAATAACACTTATTACATTGAAGATAAGCAACTGCTCCATATGCCAAATTTTTAAGCATCACACAAAAAGTGGAGTACATTTTTCCCACTTGGATTGGCCACCTGGCGTGGGAACTCCAACATTGGAATTTTTTCATAATCACCAATTAATTTTATCCCACCTGTTAATGAATTCCTCAGGTAGAATATCATCCCAACACATTTAATTCCATGCTTCCTGAATTAATAATTTCCCTCTTATAGTAAGGGGTGACACTAAACTAGTGGTTCAAAACATTTGGAAACTTCAGCAAGCAAAACCTCCCTTTGTTAATTTATTGGGCATACTGTAATTATTAGGTTTTAACATTAACAAATCTCTCTCAGTGTCCCAATTTAAACCCCAAAACATTACTACATTTTGGCACTTCATCTCCAGGGTAATCTTTATTTTTTTTGTCCTTCAATTTTGGGCGAATTACTATTTTCCCTTTCCTCAGGCATATTTGCACTTTGCATTATTTTAAATTTGCCTCTCCATAAGTCATTAACAGTTCCTCTTCAGTTGACGTCACACCCAGGGAAATTGTCCACAAAAATTGTTTTCTCATTACTTTACTCAAAGGACTTCCCGTACATTTAAGGGGTGCATTTATCGTCGCTTGAAGTAGGAACGGACTGGATGTAGCACCAAATTTAAAACGCTCCTAAAGCGAAAGGTTTTCAGAGGGCTAAGTGGGGGCAATAGAAATTTTCAGGCCCTAAGAAGTGGGTACAATCCCGGTCAGCCTCTTGTAACCCACTCTTAGGAAAGCTTTACTTATGTCAGCCGTAAAGGCATAATTTTTCAAACCTGAAATTTAATAAGATATCTCCTAATTTTCCGTCAACGACGGACCTGTTAAAAAAAAACAGTCATTTAAACTAGGTACATTTTTGTTACTCCTGCAAAAAACAAAATTAAACACAATCCTCAGGGGATGGTCTTAAATTTCCTTCTTCACTCCGTGATGTGGCAATAGTGACCATAAATTTTTGCTTGCTCAGAGTACCTCTTCTATAAATTTTTAATTAACGCTCGGGCAATTATATAAATATAGGCAGTTAACAATTCCCTGGTGTCTTACTCAGTTCGCGGAGCTGATTTTAACTACCCATATGCCATTTCTAATTATGGGCATTCTGGATGGTTCAGTCTCCACGCTCCGCCCTGAATTGAGCCAAAATTACCTTTCCCTATCACCCCCCCCACATGCGCTGTATAATTCCACGGGTTTAGCGCTCCCCCATGATTATAATAATAAATAATACATATAAATACTGTATTTCTGGGAAAATATATACAGTATTTTTCACAAAGTATTATAGTAAATAATTCTAGTCACGTTAGCTGTTTACCTGGAGAGAGTTCCGGGGGTCAACGCCCCCCGGCCCGGCTGTGACCAGGCCCGGTGGTTCAGGCCTGATCAACCAGCTGTTCCTGGCTGCTCGAAAACCAACGTACGAGCCACAGCCCGGCGTCAGGAACCGACTTGAGGGCTTTGTTCCTTGCCAGCTGAAGCATGCCAGGGGTCTGTTGGTAATCCCCCTTATGTAGGGGCTGGGAGGCAGTTGAACAGTCTCGGGCCCTGAACACTTTTGTATGGTCTCTTACGGTTTAGTGACACCCTGCTTTCGGGGGATGTTGCTTTGTCTGCCAAGTCTTTTGCTTTCGTAGTGAGTGATTTTTCGTGTGCAAGTTCGGTACTAGTCCCTCTAGGTTTTTCCAGGTGTATATAATCATGTATCTCTCCCGCCTGCGTTCCAGGAATACAGTTTTAGGAACCTCAAGCTCTCCCAGTAATTGAGGTGTTTTTATCTCCGTTATGCGCGCCGTGAAGGTTCTCTGTACATTTTCTAGGTCAGCAATTTCACCTGCCTTGAAAGGTGCTGTTAGTGTGCAGCAATATTCCAGCCTAATAGAACAATTGACCTGAAGAGTGGTCATCATGGGCTTGGCCTCCCTAGTTTTGAAGGTTCTCATTATCCATCTGTCATTTTCTAGCAGATGCGATTGATACAATGTTATGGTCCTTGAAGGTGAGATCCTCCGACATGATCACTCCCAGGTCTTTGACGTTGGTGTTTCGCTCTTTTTTTGTGGCCCAGAATTTGTTTTGTACCTGATGAAGATTTAATTTCCTCATGTTTACCATATCTGAGTATTGAAATTTCTCATCGTTTGAACTTCATATTGTTTTCTGCAGCCCACTGAAAGATTCGGTTGATGTCCCGCCTGGAGCCTTGCAGTGTCTGCAATGGAAGACACGTCATGCAGATTCGGGTGTCATCTGCAAAGGAAGACACGGTGCGTGGCTGACATCCTTGTCTATGTCGATATGGGGATGAGGAACAAGATGGGAGCGAGTACTGTGCCTTGTGGAACAGAGCTTTTCACCGTAGCTGCCTCGGATTTTTACTCTTTGACGATTTTCTCTCTGTGTTTCTTTTAGTGAGGAAATTATAGATCCATCGACCGACTTTTCCTGTTATTCCTTTAGCACGCATTTTGTGCGCTATTACGCCATGGTCACACTTGTCGAAGGCTTTTGCAAAGTCTGTATATATTACATCTGCATTCTTTTTATCTTCTAGTCCCTTTAGGCCCTTTGTCGTAGTGATCCAATAGTTGAGACAGACAGGAGCGACCTGTTCTAAACCCATGTTGCCCTGGCTTGTGTAACTGATGGTTTCTAGATGGGTGGTGATCTTGCTTCTTAGGACCCTTTCAAAGATTTTATGATATGGGATGTTAGTCTATCGGTCTGTAGTTCTTTGCTGTTGCTTTACTGCCCCCTTTGGAGTGGGGCTATGTCTGTTGTTTTTAAATAACTGTGGGACGACCCCCGTGTCCATGCTCCCTGTCCATAGGATGGAAAAGGCTCGTGATAGGGCTTCTTTCAGTTCTTGATGAACAGGAGTTCCATGAGTCTGGCCCTGGGCAGAGTGCATGGGGATGTCATTTATCGCCCGTTCGAAGTCATTATGGCGTCAGGATAACATCGGATAGCTTGTGTTAACCAAATTTTGTGGCTTTCTCATAAAAAATTTTTTTGATCTTCGACTCTCAGTCTGGTTAGCGGCTTTTCCCAAAAACTGGGGTCATATTGGGGCTTGAGTAGCTCACTTTATTTCCTTGCTGTCATCTGTGTAAGGACCCATCTTGTTTAAGGAGGGGCCCAATACTGTGGAGAGTAATCGCTAAAGATTCACAACTACATTATTGGAGAATTTCAGTAGGTCTGGAAAATTTAGCTGTCGGCACAAGGATCACACAAAAAATCCACACGAATGAAATTCCCTATGATATAAAGGTGCTATGAAATATTTCAGAAATATTAGACCCATTGCGCTAACTGAATTCAACAATAAGCCAATTCACTGTAGTTGAATTATATAAAAGATGTGTGTGTTCTTGGATTACTCCCAAACGAAATTCGGGCAAATGAAATGGAACTGGGAATTCTTTAAAATTCTTTGAAAATAAAAAAAGTCGAAAATTACGAAAATGAATTAAATAAAGCATAATTGACAAGAATGTTTACACCTACTTAACAATCACTTGTACGTGTTTAAATTACCTTTAAAATATTAGTAATTTCACTTAGTGTTAGGGACAACTAATAAAAGTGACAGATTCTACAAATACTACTCGTGGGAGGTTCCATGATGCCGGTTTGGGGTTCCTGATCCAAGGAGTTGGACCTGACCTCAATTTCCTTGGCTTGAGCTTGACTGCCTCCTATTCTGCCAAGCGCTTTGTAAGTCCTACGGGTTTAGAGCTCTCAATGAATATAATATAGTGATTAGTAATGTAGTTTTTATTGTAGTCTTTTAAGACGGTAGTGTGTTTGTCTAGCTGCTTAATGAGCTACTTTAAGCTCTTCATTTTATCAGAAAATCATATTCAGACTTACTGGCAGAGTGATGTCTTGCCGATCCCGGCCTCGCCACTCGCAAGATCACCGGGGAAGGTCGCTGACCTTGAAGCAGCACCTCAGAAGGTCCGCCAGAGGAAGTCGTCTCCTTCGAAGCTTAACAAAGGAAATCATATACCAGTCTGTGTTCCTTCGTCTTCCATACATGACCCTTTCTTTCTCTCCTGCTTGCAAGCTTGGCAAATTCCTGGGTAGAGAAGTACATAAAGTTGTTGGAGAGCTGAGGCAGAGTTTGTTCTGTGTATCGAACAAATCGCTATGTTTCCCACATTTCCCGGGCGGCCTCTAACAGAATCGTGCAACAGAGACTCGTAAGCTTCTCCAGATTCAAATTAGCTGTCCAACCGAAACTGTTTCTTCGCTGATGGTGTCTGTGATTTAAACATTTCGTTCTTCCTTCAGCAAAGTAAACGAATGTTCCAATAACTATGAGCTCCTGTTCTGCTGGCTATTCCAAATTGTGGTTCGAACTTGTCACTTAATCCGCCGGGGTACCTGAAGAAGGTAGTACAGTAACGTGATATCCATTTCAGTTGGCTTCTTTCTCTTTGCCAAATGAGCCTTCTGTTTCTTATTCAGGTGCTCCATTCCGCCTGGTAAGCTCTTCAAGTAGTCTCCTACGTATTGAGTAGGTTCTTTATACAGCCACAGGAACACCCTGCATACCACCTCCTGCGCCACCACCGTCACGGCTTCAGAGTATCTGTCAAAGGTTGTTTTAAACACAGGTGTGTCAGTAGACCCCACGGACTCTGCCATACCTGCTTTGGTACTTCGATCTCCTCTTTCCTTGTTGTATAGCCCATGTGGTTTTAGGTCTTGTTTTCGAACGGAACCCTCTTTTCCTCTTGTAGGAATTATTTCCCCTGCTTGTCAGTATTGTCAACAGCTCAACACTTGTGGCAGGAACTACCTTGACTCCTTACCAGTGTTGCACATGGCCTGATTCAACATAGTACTTCACAATGCAAAATGTATTACCTATGGTTGGCAGAGACTCTTCCCCACGTCCACATACCCAGATGACGGAACAGTACGCGCATACAGTATCTCTGCTCTCAGCTACAGATGGGCAAACCCGCAACATTACTGTCACCAGGAGCTTGGGACCTAGGTGTCTGTGCGCCTTAATTAACCACCCCTACTCTGTATCTAATCTCGCCGAGTACCTCCAACTTATCAGCAGTAACCTTATCTTATCCCTGCAGTTTGGAAAAATTATCTTATAGAATTGCCACATTCTTCTATTAGTTTTAACTTTCTGATGACATACATTTCGTTTACAATTTTGCGTTTCCTGGTATTATATCAGGTGGAGTGAATGAATAGAGGTTAGAATGGATAGGTGGATGGTATAGAAAAGGAATTGATAGCAGATGGTGCCCGAGAGGATGGCTGATAGGGAACAAACGAGTGGCAGATAGGACAGATAATTACTGGCAAGATGAGATGTAACACACTGGTAGTCTGCCGCTCATAACCGAAAGAATTCAGGTTAGATTTCTAGGCGAGCCGGTACTTACTGACAGGTATGTTTCGTTTTTGTATATAGAGTGAGAGATGTCCATGGTCTCAGTGTGTATAAATCAAGACGAACTGTATATGTACAATTAGTAAAAACCCAAATTTAAAAATTAAGTCTTTTCTAAAATTTTCTCTTATACGTTTAAATATATATTTTTTTCATTTATGGTAATGTAAAAATTAATAATTTTATACCAAAAGAACCTTAGAAAACTTACCTAACCTTATTATAACAAGCGCAATTTAATTTAGCCTAATCCAACTAAATATATTTTAGATAAGTTTACAATAATTTAATAATAAACAAACGCAATGAAATATATTTTTTCATTAGGTTCAGAATGATTTTTGCGAAATTATTTTAAAAAAAATTTCTCTTGCCTTATTCGGCAAGAAGAGCGTTGCTATTTAAGCCAAAATCGCAAGTTTTATCTATTCGGCACATAGAAAATACTCATTCTGTCTTATATATTTTATTTGGCTCCATTAAAGAGGTTGAAAATTATACTAATTTAATTTTAGTTATACTATTTATTATACATTTGTGAATTAAAGCTTCATAAACAGTAGTATTACAGAGTAAATATATATATTTGTTCTCATCTCATGGCACGAGTTATCTATATAGTTTTAGTTTATATCTAGCATGTGTTGTTATCTAGCATGTGTTGTTATCTAGCATGTGTTGTTATCTAGCATGTGTTGTTATCTTGCAGAATATACCAGAGGAGACTCGTCTCTAGATACGCTGCTGCTCGCGGTATATCTGAGTGTCTCATTCTTATACCCAGGAGAGGATTAGTCAGGTTAGTCAAATATAATTGACTGGGCAAATTTGCGTACCTATGTGGCCGTTAACAGGAACTTAATTACCTGAATGTTAAAGGTGAGTAATTTTGTTGTTGACTAACCAGTTAAAACCCTTTCTTGGATCAAACCTGATTGCCGCCTCCTACTCGGGAAATGTGACTCCTCGTGTTTAGTGCTTCCCTGTAAATAAAAATAACGCCTTAAATACAGATCCCTTTTATTAATTTTTAAAACATTTTTTAATGAACTAAAAAAGTGTATTTTTTTAATGTTTCGTCTTTCATGTATTTTGAAAATGCAGTTATTTGGGTTACTTTAAACTAGATAGGTGTTTGATGCTGTTTTTTATTAAAGGTCTCAACTCTCTCTAATGAGGGTGTTCTGAAAAAATTTCCT